CAGACAGACATTGAAAAAAATCCCATGATTAATGCACTGATGAAACACCATGTGATAAAACTGTGAATAATCCCAGGGCTTTTATACTGTATTTTTGAAATTCCATTGTCGAGAGAACTGGTTGCATATGCAACTTGCAGTGTCAACACATGGTTAAAGTACATTGACTGGATTTGATGTTTCCAATATGGTGGATGGCCCACATAAGGCATACGGTTGAAGTCAGAATTATTAGCCCCGCTTTGAATTTTTTTTCTTTTTTAAATATGTTCCAAATGATGTTCAACAGAGCAAGAAAATTTTCACAGTATGTCTGATAATATTTTTTCTTCTGGTCAAAGTTTTATTTGGTTTATTTCAGCTAGAATAAAAGCAGTTTTACATTTTTTAAACACCATTTTAAGGACAAAATATTAGTCCCTTTAAGCTACATTATTAGCTATATTAAACTATACTAAACATATATATATATATATATATATATATATATATATATATATATATATATATATATATATATATATATATATATATATATATATATATATATATATATATATATATATATATATATATATATATATATATATGTATATATATATATATATATATATATATATATATATATATATATATATATAGATATATTTATATATATATATATATATATATATATATATATATATATATATATATATATATATATATATATATATATATATATATATATATATATATATATATATATATATATATATATATATATATATATATATATATATATATATATATATATATATATATATATATATATATATATATATATATATATATATATATATATATATATATATATATATATATATATATATATATATATATATATATATATGTGTGTGTGTGTGTGTGTGTGTGTATTTATATATATATATATATATATATATATATATATATATACACACACACACACACACACACACACACACACACACACACACACACACACACACACACACACACACACACACACACACACACACACACACACACACACTCAAATTTTAAATATTACAATTTAAAACAGTAGTTTCCTATGCGAATATACAATAAAATGTCATTTATTTATGTGTTTTAAAAGAGAATTTTAAGAGCTCAACATGACACTTCAGAAATCAAGCTATTACTATAATTATTATCAATGTAAATCAGATTAATTGATGAATAGAAAGATCAAAAGATCAGCATTAATTTAAAACAGAGAATTTTTTTTTAACATTATAAATTACTTTGTCACTTTCGAGCAATTTAACCCATCCCTGCTGAATAAAAGCATTAAACGAAGTTATTAGTTTTCAGATTTTACGTAATATTGAAAACATTTAAATATTCCTCCCAAAATGACAACATCAATAATTATTTTAAGAAAGTAAAAAAAAAAAAACAGTGTGCTGGTAAATTCAACATTATCTGTGTTGTGGCCAATCCAATTCAAATATGCAAATTAGAAGGTTCTTAAAGGGACAGTTCAGCCAAAAATAAATCTGTTTATCATTTGCTCATTCCCAAATACAAAATATAATATTTTAAGAAGTGAACCAATTATACATTTAATAATAAGAGTCTAATGTTATTCATTGTCCACACTGTAAAATATGTTGAACAGTTTCTGTATTGTGCAATTTACAAGTTTATTTACATTTGTGAGTTGCATTATGGGATGTTTATTTCTGCTCTGTCCACTTTCAATGTTGAAAATTCAACTCTACAGTGTAACAAAGTGACTTTTATTGACATTTTATAGCCTGAAATAATATCTAGAGAAATAGGTCTGTAAAATAGCAGAAAATGTACTGGTGGTTTATTACAAGGTGTTTGTAGCGTAATAAACAACACCAACCCAGACAATATAGCGATGCACACTATTACACGTGTTCAGAAAAGTCACTTTTACACACTTTTTAAGGTTAAAAGTTGCTGGAAGGAACATCAAGATCCCATAATGCAATTCAAAAGCGTAAATAAACAGTGACAAAATAAAAACATCAATCACAAAATACAGAAGACTGCTCATTTACAGGACATTATTAAAAAACAACACCTTTCTCTGATGACAGGTTGATAATTTTTTGGTCTGAACTGTCTCTCTACATGGTGTTTTTACACCATGGTCTCAGGAAGCGTGTCAATACTGTCAGAGGACAGAAGTTTCCAGATCTGCCATCTCTCGCTGGTCCACTCTGGATGCTGATCCAAGCTTTTTGAAGACACTGTGATATGTGAAGACGAACCCTGAGCACCGTGACAGGAATTGACAAGCGGCTGCATGGATGCTGCCGCAGGAAGTCTGTCATCCTGTTTGGAAGATGCTGATTGGCTGACAGGAGCTTCGGCCTCCTCTGATTGGCTAAGCGCAGTCTTGTTTCTCTCTGTGATTGGACGATGAGGTGTTTGATGATTTGATGTTTGCATTTCAGGTTTTGCATCACGATCATCATCATAG